TACGAAAACCTTCAGCTACTTTTAAATTAAACAACTGAAGAGCTAGTTTAACATTTTGTCTTTCTAGATTGTTCAGATACAATGACTTAGTAGTCAGACTTGGAGCATATTTCACAATACTGCTGTATTCAATTTCATGAAGTTTCTTTAAGCACAATAAAGATGCTGGTTTTAAAATTTCTGTAGATTTCGTTCCTGGTGTTTCAGGAAAATCTGTGAAATACATGCATTGCCCTATATTCTTTTGATTCAGCCAGTTATTGCGAACATATTTAAGTACATGAACACTGTCAATTATATAAAACATTGGTCGAATAGGATCAATTGGATGTTGGTATACAATACTAATATTTGGAGGATTAGCAAAATATGAAAGAGCTCGTCTGTTTACAGCATTATTATCTGTAGCAACACATATTACACGAAAACCTAAATTTTCCAAACCTTTTATTATTTTCAAAATATATCCATGCAAAAATTGCACTGATAATGATTTTACTGGAACAATACTTATAACATCTTTATATGAAGATCTAATATTCTGCAGCATAAAAACACAAGCAGAATTAGCAGCTTTTTCACAATTATATGCCATTCCTATTATATTTCCACTTTTGAAATCTAAGAATGGCTTGATGTGAATTTCGTCAACCATTAAAGTGACATATTTATCGTTTTCATTTAAAAAGTGGATTTTTTCCTTAGCATAATTCAGGAAAATTTCAGGAATTTGCTCCACTTTAGGATCAACATTATATTCAGAATACAATCTTTTCAATGTAGAAGGATGTGGCAAAGTAACATATGCACTATTTCTTAAAAATTTATAGCAATGTGGAGAGATTGAAAACATCAAACTTGATAATATTAATAGATCAGAATTATACCTATTGTTATTTTTATGCAAAAGGAGTAATGGCAGCTGCTCAAATATAAACTGAGCTACTTTCTTTTTATGTTCAGGAGCATTTTTTTCTAATTCACGAAGAAGGCCTTGAGTTAATAATAAATTAATCATACGTGTTTTAATGGAACTTCCCTTTTCTTCCCCGTTTTTTATCGTAGTATTCAGAAACCCACTGAAAATCTTTCTCATGAAAATGTAATTCACAGACCTAAATCCATGCAAATGTAAACATAGGCCTAATTACTAATTTTAAAGTAATAAAAGTAGGATTTCTAGTAATGCAATTTATATTTTAACAAAACAGGCAAGCATATGTGTGTTTGTCTCCCACTCGGGAGGAAAGGGGGAGAAAAGAATTTCTAGTGACATAAGTTTTAATAATATTTGAATTTTCATGCATTAACAATTTAAATTATTTATTATTTTACGCGAAACTGTGCACTTTATATTACAGTTTAAAAAACCATAAGCATTTTATTGCCTTCACAGTTTCTTTAGAAAAATTTTTAATACCAAAATATATTAAATAGTAAGTTAAATAATTTCATTTTCTGCCATATACGTATGAAGTTGAAAGTTCCAAGTTATAAAATTTATCAAAAAGTAAAAAATTAGGGATTTTAAAAAGTAAGTGAATATTTAGCATACAATTCGATACATAATTATACTTATTGATACGTTATTACACAATATTATACATAATGTATACTATAGAAATGAAATTCCTTAATGTTAACGTATCGATTCTTTTAAATACAGAAGCAATTACCTTAATAAATTTAAATTTCAAGTTAGGCTTAACTTACCCGAGAATACTTCGAAATGGTAAAATTTTCTCGTGGTATCGATTTAAACCATCTATGTAATGCATCCTTGTTACTTAGGAAATCTATATACTGACACTTTAGGACCGTCAGTATAATTTCCTCGACATAACAGCACACAGCACTTTAAAGGCATAATGGAAATCGAAAAAAATATCAGTATTAAATTAAGAAGACTTGGTTAAGCCCTCTCATGACCAAGGACGAAATTACCCTAACTTGCTAAATGCCATCTAGATGGCCTTGGTTTAGGGGCGATCTTTCGCACCCGACTGAGAAGGCCAACAGTTTGTGACATCACTAAACTACGAGCCTTCAGTAGGGAGGCTTGTATTTAGGTGTTGGCATTGCACACAGTTCTTTGTTTAACCCTTTCTTTCAGAAGTATATGCCACATAATTTTTCCTCATTGATTTTTAAGAGGTAAATTTAGTAAATAAAGGACTGTATATATGGTATTTTAAAATCTGTTGTGAACAAATAGGAATTAAAAAATCCAAACCAGAGACTTGTTCGTAATGAGCTTGAAATAATTTTTAAAATTTTTGTTCATGTGATAGTGCTTAACCCCTTAACTGCCGCGGGTGTATATATACGCCTTGCTCAGCCGATACATTAACTGCCCCAGGAGTATATATAAGCCCTTCCAAACTACTATCATTTGCTTTGCGCTGCTACCTGTAAATTTATTTGCAAAGCTTTGGAATGCAATACCACAATGACCTTGACAAAGTATGCAAAGGAGGATACTATTTCAGAGAAGTATGGGGAGAAATTGGAGAGAGCGGTGCATCTAAAGCTGTGAAAGTAATGACTGCGTGGTATTGACTGGTGTTTGAGTTTTTTTTTAATTCTGTGTCCTCCGTTTTTGTTTACTTTTTGTAGTAGGTTCTAGGAATAAAGAAAGATATAATGGATGTTTCAAACCCATTTATCTTTTTTGATGAACTGCTCGTGCTTCATATTGTCACTGAAACTAACCGTTTTGTAGACAAGTATATGAACCAACACCTTGCAAACGAAAAATCAAGAACAAAATCAAGGCATTCAACCAGTTCAGAAGAAATATATGCTTTTTTAGGCATACTGATTTTACAAGGTAGAGCACTGAAACCTGATATTACACTTTACTGGTCTAAAAATGAATTGATCAAAACTCCGTTTTAGGGATCTTTTTTTATTATAAAAACATCATTTTTATTATACTTACCTCTTTTTATTATACTTTTACTTAAAACATAAAATTTTCTGCATTCATTTTTTTCTTTTGTGAAAGTAAAACTTGCGTTTATTTTCCCCCTAATACATCGCATAAGTACGCACGCCTGTGTGAAAAACCGCGCCACTGGGAAATGAATCTTGTACATTTTCTACCGCTGTTAAGGGATTAAAAGAAGATGACTTATTCAATAATTTTTACTAGGATTGGAACCTGTTATCCTTGAATTAAAGCCATACTAGTATTCTACATTATTAACCCTTTCGAGCCAACTATCATGCATACGTGTCATCAAGAAATGCGCTACTTCCTGGCATGCCAGAGCGTTCTTTTCTCGTTTACCTCCAGCCACCACACATTTGTGCCAGTTTCCTGAAACGTTTTAAAGACCACTAGATGGTGTCCTGTGTCCATTACTTTTAAACTGAATATAGAATTTTAAACTGAATTTGAAGGGTCTGCCTTTTTGGATCCTGACTTTCAATTTGACCTCATTCTGCATTACTTTAGTGTCAGCTGTTGTAGGGGAGGAAATGTAAACAAACAGAGCTTGTCTCTTTGACAGGACACCTGACTACGTGATATGAAAATTCGTGTTTCTGATATCCCTTCAAATCCTTTTTATTTTTTCATTTATTGATTTATTTATTATTATTTCTTTTGCTACAATGTAGGGTTTTTTAGTGTTACTTTTTGGAGTTTTGTTTTACTTTCCATTGATTTTATAAATGTTTCACATACTTCCCTCTTTAGAATAGAAGAGAAACACGCCAATGTGATAATCAAAATCACAATAACAACCTTATATTTAGCATAAGTATATTAAAACACTCAATCGATTTCGAGGGCAGCTAAAGGTGTCTCCTCATCAAGAGAATGAAATTCCTAGGAATAAAAAAAGAAGAAGAAAAATAAAGTATTGGCAAAGGAGTCTCAGAAACACGTGGTCTTTATCAGCACTGCATGTGGTCGTAACCAGATTTTGAATCAGAGTTACACTGGCCGTCTACTTTTACTGAGCCAGGCTATCTGATCAAACATATGATACTGCCCTTTTTATTTCGGAAAGCCTTGATTTCAGTTTATTATGGGGAGCGAGTGTTATTTATCAGACGAATGATATGCTCGCATTGTAAATGAGCCAATTAGTGACATGAATTAGAGTAACGATTCATTTTCTAAAGAGTTAGAGAATGATATTTGTAGTGGTTCTCATATGGACATTCTGTCAGAGACAGATCTCACTGAGTGTCTGCCTTCCATTTCACATGAAAGATTTTGGTATTTCTTCTTATAAACAGACTTTCTTGTATATTTTTATTAATTTAGAAGTTTATTAATGTACTATTTTATCAATTAAAATTTCAAAATAATTTCAATAGTCCTTGTAGAAATTAGTTTGTAAAGTAAGCACTTTTTTTTTAAATATATTTTCATGTAAAGAAAGAAAAAAGATTATTAAATGCTAATTTTAACATATATGATAGCTTAAGTAATAATCTAAAATAGCAAAAATTATGACATTAGAATGTAAATTTTTTTTTTATTTTTTAAAATTTTTTATGTTAAGCTTAACGGGCGCAAAATCCCTGTTCTGTGAGACGATTTCTTTCAACTCCATTTGTTCTGAGGAAACGTCTTAAACAAAGCCCTCTGCTGTCTTGAAAGTGTTAAGTTGGCTGCTTGTAATACGCTTGTCTTTGATAGATTGTTTTTTGTGTGGGGGAGAGGGGTTATTTGAATTGAGTAAATTATTTCATGCACACATTAAATGAAGTGCTGGACAGAAAATAAATATGATTTATGTTTCATTTATTGTGAATTAAAAATTTTCTGGAAGACATTTTTATTTAAAATCGATGAAAAATTGTTAAGTAAACTGTATAATTAAATTATTTTATTTCTATAATCTTTTTATGAAAGACTGGAAAATGTTGTTATTTACATTGGTTTGGTTAATTGTATTTATATTATTAAAAAAAATCTTTTTTGAATAATCATTTTTGATATATGTTTTCTTTCTGTCTTTTCTTTTTCTGTTAAAAATTAGAGAGAAAAAGAAGGAGAAGGAACGTGATGAGTTATGGAAAAAACTGTCCCAGTTGGAGTTGAATCACAAGGCCAAGCTCAACTCAGCTACTCATCACTCCCCATAGTGGCTCCTCAGACACCTTTCTTTTTGTAGAGTCGGGCCCAACACCCGCACCATTAACTGACAGTTGTGTAAATGTGGTCATGTTGTGACCCAGGCAGAAAAAATATAAGTATAAAAAACATGGCCGAACTCGAGGAACAAATTCTCTTCCTTTGGTGTGGGAGACATTTCATTTCATAAAATACTCCCACATGTGAAGGCAGACAGAAAGATAACTTCCTATAAATGTTCAAGTTATAATTCTTCTTGCTGAATGCTTGAAGTTGCTTGGACCTGTATACCATGCTGTTGGAAATTTTTTTTTAATCTATATATACTGCTTGGAAGTGAATTTACTGTTATTAATTGACCAGTGGAAAGGAGGAAAAAAAAAATCTTTTGAAAAGACAAATTTTGTAAAATTTGAGGTGTTTAGGTCTAATAATGATTTTTTTTTTTTTTTTTTTTTTTTTTTTTTTTTTTTTTTTTTTAATTTTTAAAACAGTTAAGTGGTGCATGAAACAAAAAATGAGCAGCTATGTGATGGAAGAATGGTTGTTTGGTGAGCCTGTTTGGAACTGTATGACTATTCTGACTTTTAAGTTGGTAAATCTTGCAGCTAATTTATACATTGTATTAGAGTATTCTTAATTTAGGTTATCTGAGAATAACAAGAGCTAAAATATTTTATGGTCATCTATGAATTTTTTTTTTTTTTTTTTTTTTTTTAGAAAATTGTGAAACTTACTGCATGAAAAGGGGTAGTGAACATCGGCAAGTCTTTATTCTTACAGAAGTATATAACGAGCAGCACTAATGGGTGCTTTTGTAGTTGTACTTCTAGTTGGCAAATCTTATATCCCCCACATCAAAACAAGTAACTGTGAGTTAAAAGTATCTTCTTTTTCATCCTGCTCATAAACTACCTCATTTTCAGCTAGTAAAGTTGTGCTTCTTTCACCAAATACTGTATATTAAATCAATGAGATGAAAATGCCTTAGAATACCTAATGAACTTATAAACTTATGTATGTAAGTTGCAGTTCTTTTCAAATTCCTTTATTTTAAAATGATATCTACTTAATTGTAGGTTTTATTAAAAATAATTTTTGATAAATTTAATATAAATAATAATTTGATAATTTATTAAATTTAATATGTGATTATTAATCATAAATTAGCTTTAACATCAGGCCAATCAGTGTATCTATAGTATAACTTCTAAGCAAATTTTGTTGATTTTTTTTTAAGAATCTATTCAGGTATTTGTAAACAGACCTAATACTTCATTTTTCTTGGAATACCATGAAGCTTTACACATCTTATCTTCAAAGCACTTGCATTGTAACATCGTAGCAAAATGTCATGTTTTGGTATGCAGCAAAGAGGCTGATAAAATATTATCAGAATACTGTATTGAACAACATTTTGTGGCAGCCAATAATGATGACAGCTAGGACAAAAATTTTAGTGTGATTTTTAAATGCTTCATGCATCAGATTTCCTTTTTTGAAATATTTTGACAAAGATAGATAGTGATATATTTAAATATAAGTTAAATATGCCAGAGAATCGGTGAAATTAGGGACATTAATTTTCTTGTGTTTTGATTTCATTTGTTAATTTTTTAAAGAGAAAGAGATAATAGTTTGTTGCTCTTTGAGGTAGTTTATCTTGGCAACAAGCACTTAGTCTTAGGTATTGACTTTCATGCCATGATCAATTTAAAGGTTGCTTTTGAAACTCATCTGAAGTTTTTTTTTTTTTCCTTGTGTATAATTTTAAGAGCCAGGCTCGCTAATGTAAAGACGGTGTTTCGTCAAATTATGCTCCCTCCATTGCTAAGTCACATAGAGTTGTGTACTGCATGTTGTGGCCATGTCATGTAAATAAAGAATGGAAAACCAGTTTTTATTATTATTATTATTGATTGCATGGGTCTTTGTTTTCTCCATGTAGTGCTATTCAAGTGTTGTACAGATTTTACTTTTCTAGTACAACTTTCATCTTTACTTTAAGAAACTGAGCCACATGTTGTGCAGACAGAACAAGATAACATCCTTTTTGTTTGTTTTTCACCCTTTAGATTCATTGAGAAGGAAGGTATTAGTTATTAAAAGATAAAAGAAAATGATTAACAAAGCTGTAACCATAGATCTCAGAAGCATTTGATGTTTTGTTGTGTACTTTTTTTTTTTTTTTTTTTTTTTTTTTTTTTTTTTTTTTTTTAAATTTTGTAGTATTATTTTAATTGTTTTGTGCAATTTGATGTTAAATGACAATGTTTTCCTGATAGTAAATTATATGGAAATTTATTTATTTTTAGCACTCTTGTTATTCAGTAACTCCAGTTTTGTGGAGACTAAGAGAAAATTATTCATTAAACATATATAGTACATAATTGTGTTTATGCAAGCAATAATATTATTTAAATGAAAAGTTGTCTGTAGGAATTATTTTATTATTTCATATACCGGTGTAATATATGAACTCTTGAAAAAAAAAAAAGTATTAATACAAGCCGCTAAACTGCTAATTTTCCAGAACTCTTATACAGAAATTGATGTCACTATGATTTGTATGATATTGTGAAGAGGAATAAATTTACTCATAGTAAAAATAAAATATAAATTCCTTGAATAAATGATTTACTTGATATATCTAAGATATAAGAATTAAAATATTGATTATATAACACTGCTTAACTAAGTCATTTAATGATCATATATATGCAATTCATTAAAATGTTTTGTTTTTAATTAACTTCTGGGGTTTTATATATTATATTTTATCTGGAAATAATTCATGTGTTTGTTTTTAAGAAAATATAGTTTAAGGGACTAATTATGTACTACGTTACCAGTTTCTGAGAAACTTGCTTCTTGAAGTAGCCATTTCATCTTGTTTTACTTATTAGTATGTGTAACATAAATGCAACTTGATTTTCAACAGGAATAATCTCAATGAAAGCATCTCTACCTATCCAGGTCGCTTCAAAAAAACTTTGTTATTATAGATTGACTACCTATATTTGTAAGTATCTTACTTCATGACAAATTTTCAGATTTTTGAGTAAACTATTGCCAAAGAAGGTCTTGTAATTAGTAGTAAGTTCAGTTCTCTGTGATGCTGTTGTTATTTTGAACTCACCAAAATAAGTGTATGCAGTGCAAAGAAGTCCAAAATCCAGAATGATCTAAAAATCCAAACTTCCAGCAATTTTTGTGTGTGTGTGCGCGCTTAATATTTTTCATAATAAAACATGGAGTCCTAATTCTTAATTTCACTTTGCAATTGCACTAAATAAATTACCTCCATATTGAAGAAACAATTATTTATTAGCATAAATATGTATGAGCAATAATTGGGCTCCAAAGCCCTGTTTTTTCTTGGCATAAACCAAACATCAAAACATAAAATTCTACATCAAAATGTTGTTGGTTTTACGGGGTTCGTATGGTCCTTAAAAGTCCTTAAGTTTTTTGGAATCAATTTTTGGTCCTTAAAAGTTTTTAATTTCGGTCAAAATCGGCAGAAGGTCCTTAATTTTAATGATCTGAAATTTCTGTCTGTTTTTTCCATTGTCATTTTGAGTGTGAATTAGCATTTTGGAGGAATATTTTTCTCAATTAGCTGACAAATATTGTAATCTTTTGAATGGGTAAATGCGTTTATGGATTATAAATTGTTCCTATTTCTAATATAAATATTGGGATAGAGTTTCTGAGCAAGAAGTGCAACACAAGCATTTCGAAATGATTTCATTTTTTATAGTGAAGAGCTCTTAACTTTTCGCTTTTGGAGATATGAATTTTTTTGTTAAATTGCTCTAAATTTAGCAACATTTTTGCGATTTTAAGATAAGTTTCTATAGAAAATTTTTAATTCCAAGATCTGGAAATTTTTCGACGATTTTTTAGAACATTGATAAATTTCATTAAAATAATGGTAATATATTGTAATTACATTAAGAAATAACATTGGAATAAGGCATTTTTTTATTTTTTGCTGTTGTATTATAAAGTTCCATTTTGGCCACTTATACAATATTTTAAATCTGAAAAATAAGCAAGGTCACTAGACACAAGCATAAAATATCAGAAATGCTTCTTATCTTATCATATGGACAGGCATTATAGAAAAGAATTGTTTATTAATAAAGAAATTGAAAACTGACAATTTAAACTATTCCTCTAATATGTCTTAATGCATCATAGGCACTAGGCATTTTCCCACCTGATACAATCTCTGTGGATTCTAAAATCTGCTGCCTGGTGCCTTTCTAAATTCTGCTTCCAATGCCTGTTCTAAATTCTAAAATTTTTACATTTCTCGATTTTTGTTGCTCGATGTGTTATTAAATTCTAAAAATTCTGTCACAATAGCTTTGTAAAAAAAAGACGCATAAATGTTTTGTGAGTGTTGTTGCTACAAAACATAAATATTTTGTAGCTTTTAATGTATAATTATCCTAATATCGTTTAAGATTCAATGCCATAAATTACATGTATTTTAAACTGTGAAATTTTATTCGATTGTGATTTAATAACCTTACCGTATATATTTCATATTTCTTCTGAATAATCATATTACTAAAGAAATAAAATTAGCAGCTTTCTCTATACATTCTAAATGCATTTAGTGTTTTTAGAATAACAGAAATCTTTAATAAAATCCAAAAATTCTAAAATGGAAAGGAAATGTGGAAGAAAGAAACTGAATGCATTAAGAGAAAGGGAAATTATTCTTCAAAGATATGTACAGATATTATTATGTAGATTACCCAGTTGTTTACAATTTCAGCCTTTATTATAATTTTCCATTTCTATTTTCTCACCAGAATGCAAATCAGTTTTTAAACTGAGGTTTTTGGAGTGTAAGACAAAAGTGTATTTCTGACCTCTACTTACTCCCTGCATTAGTTCCTGCCATCTCTGATAATTTGTAATTATTCGTCTTTACATTACCGTTGCCGACATTTGGAGTTCTTATGACGATAAAGTTACTGAGCTTGAAATGTTACAGCTTAAAATGAAATTAAATTGTTATAGTCTTTGATCACTAGTCCATATTTTTAGTTTGAATTTGATTATTCTTGTTTAATTACATCATCACGAGCTGTAATTGATTTATTTAGCATTATAACATGCCCTTATGTTCTGTGTTCTTTTTAAATAAGAAGCTTATTTAAATCTTTGTAGCTACTTTCAGACATAGCGATAATTTGCTTCACATCTGTCCAGAGGGGGGTTTTGGACTATTTAACTTTTACCAGATTAAGTAAACCCTCATATGCACATTTTGAGAGGTTGACAGGTGAAGAGCTAAAACACGTAGAAAGTAGTGAGAACATTGTCTTGCGTATTGAGACAAAGTTTTAACTGTTAGAAAAGATGCTTAAAGAGAAGGAAATTGATATAAATTAGCCAAAATGTCTGGGAAGGCTTCAAATTAAAAAGACGCATAAATGTTTTGTTGAGTGTTGTTGCTACGAAACATAAATATTTTGTAGCTCTTAATGTATAATTATCCTAATATCGTTTAAGATTCAATGCCATAAATTACATGCATTTTAAACTGTGAAATTTTATTCGATTGTGATTTAATAGGGTCTTTTTTAACAAATATTGTTAAAAAATAAATAAAATTTAATAGTGCCCATGTAAATCCATAATGACTGAGGTTATCTAATACGTAATTTAATTACTTATAACCAGGGCTGTGGAGTCGGTAGAGAAAATGACCAACTCAGACTCCCGGAATTTTAACTCCGACTCCTTCATATATATGTGAACATATACACATGGGCACAGCTTATTTTTTTATTATAAAAGAAGTAATAGATGCTACAGAAAAAAAAAAATTGATGCTTAGCAAATTTTTTATATTAATTAGCATTTATTATGAAATGGAAAAACTGGCATTAGTAATTTCTAAGAATCAGTAAAACTTAAACTATATTATCTGAGTTACAACCCCTGGAACTCTACAAGAAACTATGACACTAACTGCGTCAGACAGAGCCCAGATAACTTTCTAAACTTGCAAACTGGGCTTACGTCAGGTCTTTTAGGTTTGTTCTGATCAGCAGATCTCTCTTTAGGCAAGCAGGAGCGGTGACAATAGCCAATCTTTTGTTTTGAATTATGCTGATTGTGATTTTACTTTATGCTGCTTGACATAAGATCTACTTACTAAACCCCTAAACTGAGCAAGTATGTGACAAAATAAGACATTAACAAAAATCAACGTAAAGCTAACTGTTAGAAAATCTAAATAAAATGTCACTTTTCTTCTTTCAAATATATCCAATTATTATGAGTGTAAAATATTTAATGCTACTTGATAAATTTTTATTAATAATTATGTTAATTATGTTTAATAATAATGCATCCGACTTATGAATCTGTTTTATTTTTAGAATGGTATTACAAAAGTGAAGTTCAGCATAGATAATATTTTTAATTGAATTTATTCAGTTCCCAATTGCTTATAGGTCCTTAATTTTTTCATTAATGGTCCTTAAAAGTACTTAATTTTCGTGTGCAGAAATGTGTACGAACCCTGTTTTATCTCCGTTGAGTAACTTATATCCCTGACACCAATCTGATGAATCATTAATTATTTATTTATTTTATTTATTATTATTATTTTTTTCTTTCATCATCGCATGACTCGCAACACCTGGCAGCTTAAATGACTTGTGTAACTATATATATATATATATATACAGTACAAAGTCCGAAATACGGATTCGTTGGGACTTCAGCGATTCCGGATTTGGGATTTTTCCAGATATTAGATCATCAATTTAAATCTGGTAAGATGGCATGCAGAAATTATACAATTAAAAATATGAAATCGTAATTTATGAAATAAAGAACAGTTATGATCTAAAGGATATTACAAAAAAAGCTTAATATGTATTTGCTTACTTTCTTAAACATTTCCTTCAATGTAGGTTGTTTGTTTAAGTTGCTTCCACATAAAATTTTAAATGTTTCTTTTTCTTTTTTCTTATGTAATATAACAGTTGACCTTCCAATGCCATACCTCCTCGCATAATTTTGAGACGGATATGCCTTTATCCATTTTTTTGCAGAAATTTTACTTTTGTTTAATAGACATCGAAACATGGTTTCGCTTTGTAGATCCTTTGGCAGCTCCAAAATTGGAAACTCTTTTCAACTCGATCGAAAATTTAAGCTTAGCTTTTATTAAACTGCCGTAATAATAACAGTCTGCAAAAAATAATAAGCTGGATCAAATTAGAAGATTAGGGAGCAGCATTGTCTACTTCATTAACTGAAATGCCTTAGAATCAATAAAGATAATTTTAGCCTAGCTTAATAGCGTCCGTTATATGTTATTGGCTGTGTATCACAATATTGGCGAAAGCCATGTTGTTTTGCTAAATTTTTTCTTGTTCCTATTGCATACTGAATTAAGCCTGAATTGTATTAGTTTAGTTATTTACTATACTTACGTTTATTTCTTGCACATGTTTGAAACTAATATGAGTCCTGAATAAATAAACTGTCACATATACTTAAGGCTTTATCTCGGGTCGGCAGTAGATACCGCCTGGTGCAATCTGTATGGGTCATAATTTTTTTTTTAAGGTCTAATTTTCTCCGTGCCTAA